TCAACCATCGACTCGGCGCGAGAGCGAGCATGAGGTGCGGTACGGGACAGAGCCTCGAGCAGCAACCTGTGCGCTCTTCGTCAAGGTCTCCACTTCGACCGTTAACATGCCTCGTGGCACTGCTAAGAGCGGTGCTAAGACACGCTCCAAGGCTGCAGCCGGTAAGGCGCAGGCCAAGAGCACTAAGCCTCACGGCAAAGGCTCTGCACTTAAGGAGGCTACTCAGGTGGCCTCCGAGGAGATCGGATCCTCGGGTGACGCGGCTGCGGACAAGCGCGCAAGCAGGCGCCGCAGTCCGTCGCCCTCGTCTTCAGACAATCGTCCGAACCCTCGGTTCGTAGAACGTGAGTTCAACTCGGGCAGTGAGGACGATGCCGAGTCCGAGAGCACTCATGATGCTCCTGCGGGCTCTGTGGGAGGGCACAGCCCAGTGCCCAGTGAGCACAAAGAAGACAGCGTGCAGTCGTCCGCTAGTGATCACGGTGATCACAGTCCCAGGACCTCTGTGCGCTCAGAGAGTCCGGCCGTTAAGGCTAAGGGCACTCCCAAAGCCGGTGGCGATGAGGAAGGGAGTCCTCGCAAACGTCTCTCGCTTGCCGAGGGTCTTGCGCGCGCTAAGGCCTCTAAAGCCGAAGGCGCCAAGCCCTCAAAGAGCGTACCGCCTCTAAGTCTCACTCCGCGAGGAGAAGGAGACTCGACGCTCCTATCAGAGTCTCTTCGACTCCTCGGATGAAGAGAGGAGAAGGAGGAAGAAGAGGAAGAGGAGGGTGCCATTGTTGAGCCCCGGGAGGTCTCGAATGACCTCGACCAGCAGCAGGAGGATTTCCAAGCTGCCCAGCGTGTGCGTGGGGGTTCGGTGGCGGCACCCGTCAGCCAGGGAGCTGCCATCAACTCAAGAGGGTATTGGCCTCCCGAGGAGAGCTCTGGGGCTGACCTCTTCTTAGAGCTTCTCGTCGCTCCTCGTGGGCCTTGTGGGCGGCCACACTTCTAGGGGCATCTATGAACGAGCCCTTGTTCAGAAAGAACAGTTGTTCGTCGACAACGTGGAGGCTGCTCGGTGTGTGCTTCTCGCGCCACACCGCATTCCCCTTAAGGACTTCACGACTTGTCGTAAGAAGCCCGAGACCCGGGGTGGTCTCTATCCTGTTTGGGGATACCCCTGGGTTATGCCCGAGAACTGTCCCACATGGAGTTCTTGTGAGGACATGTTCTGGGCGTGGGTGGAGACTCTCAAGTACTCGCCCACGGAGTTATGGGAACTCCATGAAGATCAGCAGCTGTCCCACATCCTGGACCAGCGTGATCTTCGTGTGAGGTTTGCCCACTTGATCAGCAAGCGTATGCTGCCAAGGGACATCCTGAAGCGCGCGGCTTCTAGCGCTCACGATGAGCGCGGGTACGGTATGTATTCATCATCCGTACCCCGTTCGGGCAAGAAGCCCCGGACTACTTATGAAGCTGCCGCCGCTTCTGTTCCCAGATTGCGACAGCCTTCGGGCAGTCAATCAGGAGCCGTTCAATCGGCTCCCACGAGTTCTCGGAGTGGGCATAACCCCTCCACTTCACGAGGAGCTGTCGCTTCCCGCGACACCGTTGCTCCTGGAGGATCCGCTCCACGTGGAAGTGGACTTCTCCATTCCGGTCAAGCAGGGGCGGAGGTGCCCTCGTACGAGTACGAGTACTCGGCGCCTCCCGAGAGCCACTCTCGTTCGAGTGCTCCGACTGCGGGTCCGACACGGGACCCTGAGGTTGACCGCCTCCGTCAACGTCTCCTCGTGCTTGAGATTGCACTTGGCCTTGGGACTGGCGGTAATGCTGCCGCCCAGGCCGGGAATCAGGGCGAGCTCGCTCGTCTTGCGGGTCGCCTGGACCTGGTGGAGCGAGAGGTCGCGAGCCTGCACCTGCGGGTGGACCGCCGGGCCTCTTCGTCCGATCTGGACGAGGCCTTTCGCATGATCCGACGGATCGAGGCTTTGTTGCCACGTCCGGAGCCGCCTGCGGCACACTCCCAGACGTACGCGTATGGTGCGTACCCGGCGTACTCAGCGTACTCGGCGTATGGCGCCGGGGTCCGTTCGTATGGAGCCCCTCCGGCGTACGGTCTTGACCGCAGCCTTGCCGTCCCGACCGAGGCTTGAGTGCCTGCTTCGACGCCCTCGTCGACGACTGTGACCGGCCCTCGCTTCGAGGAGCTAGGTCAAGGGGGGTCTGCGAGTCAGCAACCCCCTGCGGGTCTAAGTACCGCTTAAGACGTCCGACATAGAACGTCGGGTGCGTCGTCATTGACTTTGGAAGGTCGATGGTGTACGACGCACCATGTCTGGCCAGGACTGCAAAAGGTCCGATGAAGCGGTGCTTCAGCTTGTTGCTGCCGACAGAGCTAACAGTGTCTAGAGGTAGGTTCCTCGTGTCTAGTAACACTAAGTCACCAATCTCAAATATACTTAAGTTTCCTCTTTCTTGTTTGTCCGAGTACTCCTTTTGTTTATCTTGGGCCGCTGCCATGGCATCGCGGACCCTGCTGACAATGTTCAGCTTGGTATCCATAAAGGATTCCACCTGTTTCCGCAGCGAAACTGGCCTCACATCCGAGACCTGGGAGGAAAGGGCTTTCCGAGCCTCTCCCCCACTTAGAATAGAGGAGTCAGTGTTTCCTCGAAGAGTGAGAGGCACTCTGGGGTGGCGGAAGCCGTTCAAGTAGAACGGCGTGAACCCCGTGGACGCGTGCACCGCGTTGTTGAGCGCAAACTCAACAACTGGAAGCTGCGTCGACCACGTACGTGGCGCTGCCGCGCACACACTGCGCAGAGTGTCCTCGAGCACTCGATTGACGCGCTCTGTTTGGCCGTCTGTCTGCGGATGATCCGCAGTGGACATCTGCAGACGAGTTCCCAGTAAAGGGAACAGCGTTTTCCAAAACGCAGCAGTGAAACGCGGGTCTCGGTCCGAGACAATCGTCTCCGGGAGACCGTGATAGCGGAACACGCCATCGACGAACAACCTTGCGGTTTGTTCGCCCGTCACAGTGACGGGAACTGGAGCAAGATGTACCATCTTGCTCAGCCGACACACGAACACCAAAATTCCGGTGTTGCCGTGTCCGTCGGCGGGAAGCCCAAAGATGAAGTCAAGACTCATCGACTTCCAACAATCAGCTCGGTACGGGCAGGCTCTGTAGTGGAGCCGAAGAGTTCTCTGCGGGTTTAACCCGCTGACATGTTTCACATGTCTTGACGTACCGGGCGACCCACTTGTACATGTGGGTCCACCAGAAGGACTGAGAGACCGACAGAAAGGTCTTCTCGCGGCCCAAGTGGCCGCTGGAGGGCGCGTCATGCGCTCTCCGCGAGGAATGTCGAACTTCAGATCCTCGTCGTTGGGGTACGACCCACCCGTGGAGGATCAGTGGGCTCCACCCGATAATAGAGGAGGCCCTCCTTCAACTCATATCGGTGGAGCCGTGAGCGCTGTCGCGACGAGAGCCAGTCGGACTTCGCGCTCGTTCCGGCCTTAAGGAACTTGACGATAGGCGAGACAGCCCTCATCGTCCCGATACGCCATGCGTATCCGATCATATAGATCCGTTGTCACCCCGCGTGATGTGACCAACTCATAGTCGGGCCCGCCTAGAGAGGGCGTCCGCAAAGCACGTTGAGCTTGCCCGGCTTGTACTCGACGCGAAAGTTATATTCCGCGAAGAAGGACAGCCACCTCGCATCCGTTGGAGAGGTGAGGAGATTCAGTCGCCGTCCTCAAGGACGCGTGTCTGTGTAGATCACAAAGCGCCTAGAGCCCAGAAGGTGAACACGGAACTCCACACTGCCCAAAGGCATATTTTCATTGTCCCGGGAGCTTCTCTTGTTCCGGGATAGAGGCTATTTCCGCCTCGCGCGGCTTCTTGAGACTGCCCTGCCAATGTGACAGAGAAAAGAAATACGCTTCCTGTTTTCCGCCCGCGGTTTGCCCCCGACCGACAAGACCCCACCGCCAGAAGATCAACGGAGCCTCCCAAAGAGCCAAAGGCTCTCCTCGGCGACCGGACGGGGCCTCTTGGAGACTGGCCTTGATGCTGTCAAAGCATCCTGGTGCTCTTGCTCCCAGCGCCAGTCGACGTCCTTCTGAAGGAGGCTCGACAAGGGCTTAGCGAAGCCCGCGTACCCAGCGCTGTACTTGTGAAGGTAGTTGGCCAAACCCAACCACTTTCGAAGATCCTTCTGGGATCGGGGCGTCGGCCATGCTGCTATGGCCTTGACCTTGTCTGGGTCAGCCCGAACGCCCACGTTGCTTACGAAGCAACCGAGAACTTTAATCTCTGGTGACGCGAAAACGCACTTGTCGATGTTGGCGTAGAGCTTGTTCGCTCGCATCACGTCCAACACTCGACGGAGGTGTCCTAGATGCACCTCCATGGCCGTCTTGCCTCCCTCGGCACGGCTATGGACGAAAATGTCGTCGAAGTACGTCTGTACGAAGGTACGCAAAGGGCGGAACAATTGCGTCACCAGGCGATTGAACGTCGCCGGGGCGTTAGACAAGCCCTGCGGCATGACGAGCCACTCCCAAAGCATGCCGCTTGGAGTGCTTACCGCGGTGAGCGGGATGTCACTCTCTCGCATCAGGATTTGGTAGTATCCGTCTACCAAATCCAGCGCACTGTACAGTACGCTGCCGGCCATGTTGTTCAACAACACATCCTTTCGTGGGATCGGTGTTTGGGCCGGCACCGTTGCGTTGTTCAGCTTGTTATAAGCGTGAACCAGACGCCACTTTCCGTTCGGCTTACGAACGCAGAAAGTCGGCGTCGAGTGCGGGGATTTCGACTCCCGCACCATGCCTGCCTTCGCTTTCGCGGCGAAGAAGGCATCAATGACCTCGCACTGTTCGCGCGGGAGAGGCCATTGCCTCGTGACACAATACTTTGTGCCGGGCACGAGATCAATCTCGTGCCGTACGCCTCGATCCGGTGGGAGTTGGGTCGGTGGGTGTTTATTCACCACGTCCGCATACTCCGTCACCAAAGGATACACCGGATCCTTGGGGTTCTTGAGAATCTCAGAACCCAAGCGCGCCTGACGCTGCTTGTTCATGTCTTCCAGGACGTTCTCGTCCAAGACAGAGGAGGAGTTCAGCTCCTCCTGAGTGGTCTCAGGTCTCATGAGTACCATCTCAGCGATCTCTCCAGCCTTGAGGTTGGCCAGGAAAGACTCAGCCGTCATTTCCTCGAGGTTCAGTATCTCTGCAACCTCTGGCAACGGTTCCAAGTGGACACCAGATGCCTTGACGGGTAAACCGGTCTCGCCATCGAAGATGTGATAACACTCTTCCACCGGCCTTGTCGGAGGAGCCCGGGCCCTGGACTCCGAGTCGCTTGAAGCGACGTCGATCGGAACGAAGTTCGGATCCGACTTGAGGCGGCGGCGGCGTCTTTGCCGACGGCTTCTGTGACGGGGAGCTTTGCTGCCCACGTCTAGGGATGTCGTCGCTACGACATCCGAGGCACTCGTGGCCTCGTGTGGTACTGTTGTACCCACACAGGAAGCGTGTTCAGCGCCTTCCTCTTCAGTTAAGGTCTGGGCGACCGCGTGTGGCACTGTGTTACCCACACAGGAAGCGTGTTCAACGCCTTCCTCTTCAGTTAAGGTCTGGGCGACCGCGTGTGGCACTGTGTTACCCACACAGGAAGCGTATCCGACGTCTTCCTCTTCAGTTATGGTCTGGGCGACCGTGAGTGGAACTCTGTTACCCACTCTGAACACGCTGTTCTCAGTGTTCATGACAGCTGCAGCTGTCTGCGGAACTAAGTTACCCGCCTGTGGACCTAAGTTACCCACTTGGCCGGCGCCTCTTCTGGGCGCGGCCACCATCAAAACATCCTCGGAGTCGTCATATACGTCGACGACTCCCAAGCATCTGCCGGATGCTTTGGTACCCTGGCAGCCCTCGCGGGCGCCCCGGGTCCTGACAGAGGTGGGAACATGACTCACCAATGCTCTGTCGGACTGCGCAGGGCGGCTGGCACCGATTGCCTTGCCTCGCCAGTCGATCCAGGGCTCGTGCTTCTCAAGCCAGGGCATGCCCAGGATCATATCATATGGATCCATATCGAGAACAGTGAACTGTTCGAGGCTGTCAAAGTCTTCAAACTTGACAGCCAGATCCACTTGGACGTTGGGGACAGTGACGACCTTCCCGTCGGCCAGTCGCACTGACACCGTCCCGTTGCCCTTGCTTTCTCGCAAAGCTTCGGACAACTTGTTGCTGTTACGAGCAACCGTCTGGCGGCGTGCGAAATTCTTCGACGCCCCCGAGTCAATCAAGATTCTAAAGGGGTGATCGTACCCCCGTACACATCCGTGTACTACGAGCAACCCGCCGCTGCTCTTCGCCGATTCGAGAGTGCGAAGACTCTCAGGGGCTAAGTCCCCGTGGTACGCGCCACCCGCGCACCCATCACGAAGACTTAGTTCTTCCCCAGTAGGGCGCCCCGCCCCTACTGGTTCCCTGCGTTCCCCTGTCCCCGGGATCCTGGCTTCTGCCAGCGACCCTTGAGGACGGGCTTGGGGAAGGACCGTCTGCGGAGTCTTTCCGCGGGACAGTCGCGCTTGAAGTGGCCCATCTTCCCACAGCCGAAGCAGCGGATGTCACGCTGTTCGGCGGACCCGAGTTCCATGGGAACTGGTCCGTTGGGGCTTGTTCGACCGGGAGCCGACAAGGAACTCCCAGGCCACGCTGAGGCCGGCGTACGCGCCTGGCGATGGCTGTATTCTTCTTGAAGAGCCACTTGAATCGCCTCTTCAAGGGTGCTTGCCTGCACCCGGAACAGCTGAGTGCGTGCGGGGCCCACTCGAAGGCCGTCCATGAACACAGTCATCTTGATGTGTTCATTGAGTGGGTTTCCCACTAGGGACGCCGTGAGCTCCCGTATCTCTTGCACATACTCGTGCAGTTCGCGTCTTCCTTGTTTACACGCGAGGAAGCGCGAACGCTGGCGGTACTCGTAGTTCGCCGGGAGGAACGCGGCTCGGAGCTGTTCGCACAGCTGAGCCCAGGATGTAAAACATCCAGGGGATGTCGCTTCCCGAGTGTACACCCAACTCTTAGCACGACCGCTGAGGTTGGAGAGTGCAAAAGCAACACGCAGTTGCTCGGTCGAGATCAGAGCCGCGTCCATCGCGAGCTCTACTTCTCGGACCCAGAAGTGAAGGTTCTCGCCCTCCTTCCCTTCATACGGCTTTACCTTCAGCCGTATTGGCTTCGGGTGAGGCGGGTTTGCTTCCGCCGCCGGAGCCAGCAGGTTCTCCCGCACATGCGCGATATGGCCCTGCTCGTACGCGTCGAATGCATTGACGCGCTCGAGCTGCTCAGCCGGTGTTGATACCACCAGGCTCTGCAGGGCCTCCATCCCGAAGATGCCTGCCATCTTCCGAACCGACTCGAACTGAGAGTCGTTCATATGGGAGAAGTCGTTCCTATCCATGGCAACGAACTTCGGAGGTTCAGGTAGTCTACCCGCGATGGCGTGGATTGACTACAAGTGCTACCAAGTGTGACGGGGTCACACAGCACCTTGCGCTAGAGGAAGTTATCTTCCGAGAGTATACAAACTCTCAGTGAACGGCAGTTCACAGGTCCCCTCTTTAATTAAAGAGGGCGAGGTGACCTAAATAAGGTAGATTGTAAACTGAGTATATTTATAGGTAGGTTAAGTTTGTGGCTAATACAAACTATCAGTTACCTATAGAAATGCAATGTCATTTAACCAATGGTTGGTTTTGAATGACCTTGGTACCTTGTACCAAATATCCCGGAGTATGACATCTGAAGTGTGAAGTGTCACACTTCATGTAACCAGGGTACACTTAGTGCTACGTACCCCGTTACACTGACAAATCCTCACAACAAATCCTATTTTTTTATTCGAAGTTGCTGACATGTGAGCTACTGTAGCTTTAATACACCTTAATTTATTTGACGACGTTCTTACCACGTAGCCCCTCCAAAAATGCGGAGTGAAATTTACACACTACAGTACATGTACTGCATCTGGGAGTATATTTTTTTTGATAAAAATATTTTTTACTGTAACTTACTGAAGCGAGAAGCTGAGAATTTGCAAAATGTGTACTTATCTTTCTCTAATAACGCCCTATCATATTCTCATGAGGTCAGCTACTACATGTACACGTACAGTACACGTTCAGTAACTCACGACGTGAACTTCACGTACGTGTATCTTGTCAATTGAATCAACAGATTCGATGCAAGATTACGATCTTGAAGATCGCATAATCCACTAAACCGCCAGCTGAACTGTGAGCTCTTGTCTACAGTGAAGAGAATCGATGCGAAGTGAATGGGACCGACAGCATGCTCCAATTAAGTCACGAAACCAAAGAATGAAGCGTTTGACTCTTTGACATGATAATTGGGGTGCCCTTCCTCCGCCTTTGCTGTTTGCTTGCAGTATCACTACATGTACATGTATCGTAATTTTACTCCAGACACATGATTGCTACATGTATTATCGCAGAAGCTGATCGGTTTCGCTACATTATTTCCATATTTCCAGGGTCATGAGTCACGACATGACTCGTGACACCGCCATCATTGATGAGTGGGTTTTCCCGCTAGTGAACTCATGATATCTTCAACGGCAGGTATCTATAAGCCACAACCCCTCTTTCGAAACAAATCTCAAGATATTTATTTTTATCTGCTATAACAAAGTTTTTCATTCGATATCCGATCCGCGTCACTCAAAGCTTTTCCGCTTGGATCGCAAGTACCTCCCAGCTATGACCTCGTCTTCCCCTCTCCGCTGGGGCTTCCTCGGCTGTGGCCGCATCTCGGCAGACTTCGCCAGTGCCATGAAGGCGCTGGACAACGTCGTATTCCAGGCTTGTGCCGCGCGTTCGTTGGACAACGCCCAGAGATTCGCTAAGGAGCATGGTATTAACCAAGCTTATGATTCATACGAGGCCCTCGTCGCCGACCCTAACGTGGACGTCGTGTACATTGGCACGTTGCACCCGTCACACTATGAGCACACTGTGCTCGCTCTAAACCACGACAAGCACGTGCTAGTGGAGAAACCCATGGCCATGAACCTCGCCCAAGCGACGGCTGCTATTGCCCTCGCTCGTGAGAAAAATCTCTTCCTCATGGAAGGAATGTGGACGCGCTTCTTCCCTTCCATCCGCCACGTGCGTCAGTTGCTGGCCGACAAGGAGATCGGCGACGTGCACCACGTACACGCGTCCTTTGGCATCCAATTCGACGTTGACAATACCCGTATGTGGCACAATGAACTCGGAGGCGGTGGCCTCTTGGACATCGGCATTTACCCTCTGGCTTTTGCCACGATGGTATTTGGAGCCAAACCTGATAAAATCACATCGGCTGGCAAACTGAATGATGGTGGCATCGACATTTACAACTCGGTGACGCTCGAGTACAGCGACTCGCGCTTCGCTACCGTCGAGTACACGATGTTGGCCAATACGGACGAGACTGTCACCATTTCGGGCTCTAAAGGACGCATTCACTTGCCAACGCCCGCTCACACGGCGACGGAGGTGCAAGTGGTCAAGTACCTTGAGGACGGGACGCACAAGGAGACCACGACGTCATTCCCGTGGCCGGCACCTGCTGCTGGGGTTACTTTTAACTACGGCGGCTCGGAGGGATTCCGCTATGAGGCCGAGACTGTGATTAAGGCCATCCAGAACAAGGAGGCCGAGAGCAAAGAGTACCCACTGGACGAATCGCTCCAAATTATGACGATTATGGACAAGATTCGCAAGGATTTGGGTCTCGTTTACCCCGCCGACGCGAAGTAGGTTTACCTATTTTTGCATCTGAAGTGCACTCATTAGCGTTTTTGGCATAATCTGAGATAGTGTTGCTACAATTGTGATGCAAATTTGGAGCCTTTGAGTTGCCACACTAATGAAAAAGCTAACGTTGAAAACGTTTGAGACCTCACCCCACGTTATTTTTTGCCAATTGTTGGAGGGTTGGTTTATTGGCGATGACGGTAAATATCGCGAACAGCAGCTTCAGCCACGAATCAGATTTACCGCCGAAGTTGAAGTTCATGCAACAGCATTGCGTTTTCGAGGGTGTCGCTGTTGAAGGTCAATTTCATCATTTGCCTTGGAGTGCAACAAGAAGTATCGATGGGCGCTGATTCGCAAGTTCCGCTCCGCTGGGGTTTCATTGGTTGTGGCAAGATTGCCAATGACTTTGTCAATGCCTTGAAAGGGATGGCCGGCGAGACCGCGAGGCTTTCGGCTTGTGCTGCTCGATCGCTTGAAAGTGCAGACCGATTTGTCAAGACTCACGGTGCGTGCATCAAACTGATAGATCAATGATTTACCTTTGATAATTGACGTGACTCTATGTTGTTGCAGGATTTGCTCATGCCTACGGATCATACGAAGAGCTGTGTGAAGACCGCGACGTTGACGTGGTATACATTGCCACGATTCACCTGATGCACTTCGATCACATTTCGCTTGCTCTAAATCACGGCAAGCACGTGCTGGTGGAGAAACCCATGACAATGAATGCGAAGCAGACGGCGTCCGTTGTCGAATTGACCAAAAAAAAGAATCTTTTCCTCATGGAAGGTATGTCAAAATTTGTGGCAACTTTTTTTAAATTGTTGTTGCCGAAGCTGATTGCAACTTTTTGCTTTTATCAGGTGTGTGGACTCGTTGCTTTCCTTTCCTGAAATACGTGCGCCAGTTAATATCTGACGGAAACATTGGCGACGTCCACCACGTTCACGGAGATATTGGCATTCCGTTCGTGAATCCCATGTCGAACTTTCGCAGCTCTTTGGGTGATGGCGCACTTCTCGGCATCGGAATATACCCCTTGTCATTCGTGACGATGGTGTTCGGTACGAAGCCACTGAAGATTACTACCACCGGCAAAACCAGTTCGGGTGGGGAGGATATATACGGTTCGGCAACTCTCGAATACAGTGGCAGCCGAGTTGGCACCATCAATTTCACAGTCTGGGCAACACTGTCACTATCACGGGTAGCAAAGGCAGGATTCGCATCCCCGAGCCTGCTCATTGCGCCACAGAGGTCACTGTCACTCAGTTCCTTGAAGATGGCACGCAGCAAACCAAAACGATGCAATTCCCGTGGCCGACGCCTTCTACGAGCATCGCCACGCCGTTCAATTACCCCGGATCGCAAGCACTTGTCTACGAAGCTGAGACTGTCACGAAGGCAATTAGCAGTGGCCAACTGCAATGCGACGAGTACACACTCGAGGAGTCTTTGGCACAAAGCACTTAAGTGGATTAATGAAATTAGTTTTTACTCTGATGTTTTTAAATGGTAACAAATTGAGCATTTTCAGTAAATGAGAAGGAGAAGTCAGTGCTTGGAAGATACTACTACCGGTAGTAGTTAGTAAACCCACTGGTGATATGCATGAAAGGAGTTCTTATCAAACCATTTGTGCCAAAATTATAGAAATCGTTGCTGAGGATAAAGCCACTATCTGTCAGATAGTATCTGAGTCCGATAATGTCGTATTTTACTGGACATAGCCTCGGTATGTGTAAACTCGATAGTTCTGTACGTATTTCACGAGCATCCCTTGTTGTTCATCTGTGCTCGACCAATCTTTAGCTTGATATCCTCCATCGTGTGGCCGTCCCACCTCTTAAACATCTCACGCCGAACGTGTCTGCTTTTGAGCATTTTGTTGATAGTTTCCGGTGAAAAATCATATTCAGTGCCTTCTGGAATCTTCTTGTTCCTTTGAGACCAGTTCTTAAACAGCTCCTTGAGCCATCGCTTGATACCCGAAAAATTGACGACGCGCTCTTCGTCATCCGCTACGATGCTGTTGATACCGCCGCTTGTGTCGTAGTTCCACAAGGCGTCTTTGCCATTCGCTCTTAAGTGTCGGGACTTGGCACAAGCTGCCATACGTGACATTGGCGCACGCAATGTAAAGGGCTAGAGCCACCACGATGACGTTGGCTCTCATTGCTGAGAATCGACGACTGAGAGGGAGGAGTGTTCGGGCTGATGATTACCGAGTGTACTTGCATGCTTTGTCACGGCCTATCTCGATGGATGTGCGATTTGATGATGACCAAATCGAATGGCATAAGGTTACAACAATACGACAGCCTACCAGCACCCTTATGGCACTGCGGCGCCATTTACTGAAAGGCACCCTTAATAACGAGAATAAATAACCAGCAATTTAGCGTATAGAGGCGAGGTTTTAAGATTTTTACAACAGGGCACATCTTATTTTTCAGTTTCTTTTAAGATACAAATACAAGCGCGAGCCGATGAAGAGTGTCGGCATGAATCAGCAATTATTAGTAAGCGATCTCCTGCACTCCAGAGCCCACGAGCTTCAACAGCTTCAAGACAAGGTGCACACGATGACGGAGGCGTTATATGATCTGATGTTCGCTCGCGAGGAGTTTGAAGAGACGCTTATACGAGAAGCCGAGGCCATCAACGAGCTGACTGCAAGCGTCGGAGAGACTCGGGGCTACACTTCATCACATGGAGCTCTGCTGTGGCAAATGACCACGCTACTACGGCGTGATCCTTCAGGGCAGTCATGCGGTGGCAAATGATTAATTATCGGATGTTCCGAGTGTGTATGAGAAATGCAGTTTTTTCTTTTCTTTAAGATCTTGAGCTCACTGCTGCCTGTTGAGTTCTTGCTCATTCTGTTGACATGACCTTGCTTATTGCTTCATCTGTTTCCTGCATTTTCGTGATGCTCTCTTCACTGCGTGTATCCCCCTTTCTTGTGTACAGCAGTACCCACGGAAGTCTCAATCTCATAGCTTGCGGGTACGCCTCGGTGATACGATGATGCTTGAATCTGAGGGCGTTTCGCACGAACGCGTCAATCGCCAAGAATCATATAACCGCTGGTTTAGCTGTCGGGCTGCGCAGGCTCGTTAACCCACCTCTTCATATTTATTGCGGGAATTTCCTGAATGTCAATTCTCCAAATACAGTAGCAACTTGTTCCTCCACACACTTTTGATTTCTGTCCGATATAACTGCTGGTGGAGAGGCTCGTAGAAATTCTCTCTTAATGTCGTAGGGAATGTCACCTCCACAATGATAATACCCCAGTGTATTCTGCTAAGATGTAGTCATTGAATTACGAACAGTGTCTCAGACAGCCATAGCTTTGGAGAATTTGGCCATACCATGGACGAGGACAGCCCCACACACCCTTCGACATAATCTGCAATCATATTGATGCCCATATCGATCACTACATCGCTCATTATCACGTCGCAGGGTATTCCAGCAGCAACATCTATAAATTTGACAGACGAAGACCCCGACTTAGTCTTCAATATGGCCATGAACTATGTGTGAAGAGTACTTCTTCAGAACATCTTCCGCCAGCGCTTCATGCATGCTTGCACTGTCAGAATCCATCAATCCACTTATGTTCGTCTCCAACGAAAAGGGCTCGAAAGGGTGGGCTTGAACAATGCGTCGCCCTTGCTTGAGCCAATTTGCATATTCAATAAACCCCCTCGCTTCTGCTTTTAGTACGTAGAACTGCTTCATTCTGTTGAGAAAAAAGCTAAGGCAAAATAGCAAAGTGAGACAGCGAAAATTAAATAGAGAAAAATTGGAGCACCTTTACTTCTCGTGAAGCACTTATTACGACAGCAAATGGCTCCACACACCTGTGCAGATCAAGGCTTTTAGATCCAAACGAAATCAGTAAGCCCCGCGGGGCGTCCTCCGTTTAGTTCGCGAGTGAATCCTTCTTTTGCTGAATTGCCGCATCAGCTTTTTTAGTAAAGCTTTTGGAATAACAAAAATGTTGATCGATGACCTTGTTCTCGCTGTCTTGATGAGCAACTTCACAAGTAGCAGGACGAGCTTGTAAAACCTTGTCTGTCATCCGAACTGAATATTGGTCGATTCCATTTGAAACCCTCTACGCGTTTGGACAAAATCTAGCACATTGTATGATTTATGTCAAAGCCGTGGTGACCTCCAAAGACACCAAAATTACAGTAAACTTGGGCGGAGGTGTGATCCATATAGGTTTCAGTTTGTTCCGGGTTCCGTATTTTGGAGGTGTCAATCGAAGCACTTCGACACACCGAGTACTGAAATCTGGCGTGGCGCTTCATCACGCACGATCTAAGTTGCCAGACCTTTGTGGGAATCGCAGTTCTTCTCATCTGACGTAATAATCTTTGGGGAAAGCTGTGTGGCCGACACTTCGGAGGCACCAGAAATTTCTTCAAGAGGATCAACGCTTGTTTTTGTTACCTTGTTCTGTCGACAAGATGGATGTTCTAGCGATTCGTGCTCCATTACCAGATTCTGATCCGCGAAAAGATCAGCGTAATCTAGCTGGTCAAAAACGCTATCGGAATCGCTTTCAGGATCAATACCGGCTGATACAGCTTCGGGGGGATTACGTCGTAGCTCACGTTCGACCAGCTTCATTATCAATAAAAAATTTCCACTTGGTCATCTATTTATAAAAGTCAACAGTAGATAGCTCACTCAGCGATTCTACCACGGGTTCGAAAAGCGCCTGAGCCCTTGCATATTTTTCAGCATCTGAGAGCACGACCATATTTGCTCGTTCTTCTCTTTGTAGGCGGACGTACTCAACGGGGCGCTTGCGTATTGGCTGTGCCGTAGGGTGCCCGTGGTTAAAGGGCTTCAAGAGACTTGGGCGGCCTTACTTGTCCAGCTCGAGATTAAACCATGTTGGTAGCTTGCCGAATCGAAGTTAACCCTTTCACGAGCGAATCGTACGGTTCTTCTGTCTTGTTCATGCTCCATCGCTCTGGTACTGATGCTGCCGGTTTTTTTTTTAAATTTGTGACCTTTGCTCGCAACAATCATGATATATTGACAAGGGAACCAACGGGTCTTCTAAAAAGAGGAGCAGCAGCTCCAGAAAAAAATCGTTGACACTTGACTCGTGCTTGAACAAACGAACTTGCCACTCAGATTGAGTTGGACCCACTTCAGCACTCGTGGCCTCTGCCTTGCTCACCATGGAAAGGTCCCACTGTGATGAGACCTTCAAACGCGTCATTAGATAGGTGTGCAGCAACCAGCTGCAAGAAAAGAGGTATCAATTCTGCTCTTCGAGACTGGGTACAGAAATCTGCCTGAATAAGGAACGCCTGATATAAATTAAGAAAGAGATTGCACAAGCTGACAATGCCTCGCTAGAAACAGACTATGATATCGGATCATGTGCATGTATTGAATTAAGTTAGGATAAATTGAAGATTCGACTTTTGAACGAGACCAAAGTGATATTCCAGCAGTGCTGATTCAGCAGCACTGCTGAATCGTGAAAGCGCTAACTTTAGATCGTACAGCCTTCTCCACAGGCCGTCCGCGCAGCACAGCACTTGATTTGAGTATGCGGTATTTTGTCGTTTTGCCAGGGGCCGTTGGAAGCCCAAACTCTTCAACCGCCCACTCAGCTAGCTCATTTTACGACAGACTAGGTGAGCGAGCAGCCTTCTTGAGGATGGCTACCTTCTCGGACCAGGTGAGGCGGAGACGATTGGAGGACATGGGGGTGCTGAGGACGCAGTCGGCTAGTGATCTTGAATGTAAATGTAGGAATGAAGTTCGGCTCGTAGGGCTTGAAGCGAAGGAGGATCACCTACTGCGCGCCATTTTTTAAATTGAAATCAAAGTCAGTGTCTGGATTGTTTTGTCAGTATCTTGCCCATCACTATCCCATCTCCCTTTATCTTTCCCGACTATAAAAATTGCGAGGTTATTAGTTGAAACCCCGTTCCTTATTCAGGCAGATTTCTGTAGTAGACTTCCGGAGAGACAAAAGCAAATGATTCACGATCTTCACTTGGTTCTGGAGCAGTCCTGCGATTGCTCTGTCAATTCTCGTTTGTCTCCCCAGAAGACGTTTTTGTTGATTCCAATTGGTCTCGATCAGGTTTGTTGTTGTGTTCCAGGCCGTAAAGTACTGCACACGCTCCTGGTTTGCCCACATTTCACAACAAGTCCCAGTTATCCTGGAAAAGTTCATGTAATTCAGGACAGGACTCCTTGGAAACATCAGGACAAATTCCGATGCAGAAGTTTTCAAATTCATCTCTTGTCCTATTGTAGGCAGCAGTTGCAGACCCGTACATCATCTGCCTGATTGAAATTTTCACACCATCTCGTTGGGTCCCGGAAAGACTGTACTTCGATCCCTACACGGTCTTTTGTTCGCCATTGTGTGGAATTGGCACAACAGCACGGTCACCTGGGGGGGGAAATCTCCAGCACTCCCCACTCTTTAAGGTCCTGATCGATAACAAATATCTCGATTTCTTCTCACTTCTAATTTTTCATCTTAAAGAAATATAGAATTGCCTCCATACTCGTCTTCCTTTTATCCAGCGCAATGAAGTCTAGAACTGGAATGCCGCCCCGTTGCACTTGTAACCAGGAGACTCCCTGCGTTATACAAAAATAAACATAGGTTAAAGGTGCCGGTACAGAGATAAATATGCAGCGTGGCGGGTAAAAGCAATTTAATAATAAAACGCTAAGATAAATACCCAAATTGTTTGTCCCATACGTCCAATCCATGCAAAAGTTTTCACTACAACGGCCAAAAGCTAGTTTCTTCACCGCAGTCGGGACCACAGCTCCACTTGCCACGTCAGTTTGATCCCTGAGAAGGAGAACCTCGTGGTCATCAAAATCCGCAAATGTATCCAGCATACAGGAGAGTTTGCTGTTCGCTGAAGTGTTCTTCAATACTCTGCGGACAAAGTTGCGCGCTGGCTGTGGTGTTACTTGGCGATCCAAGGCGTCTGATAGAAACTCTTGACTCAGTGCTGGTATCGGCAAGAAGCCCAACTTGCTCAAATACCGGACTTTGTTCTGGAATTGATCCAGCACCGAAGTAGCTCGCGAAGATCGTCGTAATTGCGCGGTGACTATGTGTCCAGGTCTAGACAGTAATATTGGGCTAGGTGATACTATGTTTCATCGCTACACATGCTACTGCTAACCCTGTTTCGCAAAACAATGCGCCACTCTTCGTCATGTCCTTCCTCTGCCGTGTTCTTTTAATGCGCTGCAAAGCGAGCCTTGCATTCGGTGTATCGACTAGGAGTACTACGCTGACCTTTACTGCGAGATTTGTGCAGACAGCCATGCGTGCAGCGAAACACCTTGTAGCTGTGCTCCAGCTTTATAGCAAATTTGAAGATCACTCAAACTACATCAGTCATATCAACTCGTCAGTGTAAATTAAAATAATGAAAAAAAAGACTCACCTATTGTGTTTTATTACAGTCCTAGTATCTCGGACTCTGTACAACTGGAAATGATAGCTGCAGTATTCCTCCAAACAATTAATATTCTCCTTCCACGACGAAAAAACAAGCTTCGGCACGGAAAAGAATCTTGTTCACAACGCAGAGACATCTCCATCGCAACTCGCTCTGGATGAGATTCCGTGCGCCGAACTCGGGGCGCGCGGTCGGCGCTCGAGTCTTGGATGTGCACACCCACGCCTTGGCCAGGGTCACCACAATGCTCTTCGTCGCTTGATGGCAGATACAAAGTTTCCGCGACGCTCTCGCCGCCGCTACCAGTAGTCTCCACCCAGGATCGACGTCGCTGACGTTTCTCTGGTTGCTGCGC